GAATGGTTCCTAGATGAACAGCCTTTTGGATTCCTTAGGCATCTACTACAGATATCATTAGTAGTAGTATTTCTTTTCAAGAAGTATATAATAGTTGCACTCGAGGTTTTTGTACAGCTGTTTAACCCACTTCAGTCACTGTGAGTCTCTGGCACAATAATAAACAGCTGAATCTTCTGTCTTCAGGCTGTTCATCTGCAGAAACAGCTGCTCTCTGCCATCGTCTCTGGAGACAGTAAACCTTCCCCTGACTGACTGTGAGTAGAACTGGGTGACCTGAGCTTCAGTAGCAACCCATTCCAGTCCTTTTCCAGGAGCCTGTCTGATCCAAGCCATCCAGTAGCTACTGAATGAGAGTCCAGAGGTTGTACAGGTCAGTTTGTGGGATTCTCCAGGTCTTTTCAGCACTGACTCAGACTGTGTTATAGTCTGACCATCAACACCTGGAAATACAATAAAAATGCCTTCCTTTAGGAGTGAAAATACACTATAGTGATTGTACAAAGGAACGATAATCAGTGATGATCTCCACCTGTCCAGCAGATGGCCAGAAGCAGCAGCAGCCCTGTCCTGTAACCTTTCATGTTGAAGTCAAGTCTGTTCAGTCAGGATCAACAGAGTCATAAATAGAAGTAGAGAACATCTGGGTTTGCATAAACTCCTCCCCATTTTGAGATAAAAAAAAAAGATCTGACTCAAGTAATGAAACAAGGACTATTAGTTTTATAGGGAATAAAAATTCATTATTCTTGAGCATAAATCTGAAATCTCTTCTAGTATGATGGTGCAAATTAGTTATAAATTAAGATGTGAATTATCTATTTTATTCAACAACAGCCAAACTCCATTGTCTTTAATTAGTGTCCCAGCTGAAACCATATTTTATATTTGATTTTCCTTAGTAGGTTGCTATAGGCATCATAGGTTTAATATTAAGACAATTAAAATGCCTTGAGAAAAATAATAAAGACATTATTTTATAAAAGAACAGTTTCATAATTTTGGGCCATAAAAAAATATTTTGAGCACACATTTGGCACATGACTGAAGATGAGAAATAAAAACATTGTTTCTGTTGAACCACCTGCCAGTGAAGCCAATAAACAGGAAATCTCAAACCACAGCATGATTTATGGTTTTAATATGATTACAGAGTATTTACATTCAGGCTAATGTCACTTCTGCACTGTAAGGAGTTTTTGTACAGCCTCTCTGCTCTCAGTTTACTCTTTCATGTCAAACATGTCAAAGTTCATAAACATTAAAAGTCTGTGTGAAATAATTTGAGAGCTGTTCAAATGTAAGAACATTATTTTTGTTTAAATACATTCACGATCACATCTGTTGAATAGAAATGTAATAAAGCCTTTGGATTGTTTTTGTGCTGCAACAAAAACCATACCCATGTAGTTGACAATAATCATTTACACCCCCTTCTGATAACTTAGAAAAATGTAGTTTTTAAATATAAAAATTAGCAAAATATTTTTGCATATATTTCTTATTATATATTTACATATAAAATAAATATGATTCAATCAAACTGTGGTTTTCTTTTTGAACTTCCACTTTAATAAATGCCTAAGATGATATACTATTCATGTAAACAAAAGCAAAAGTTGTTGAATGGTTTCAGTGAACTATTAAGACATAAAGTTAAACAATAAAATTTGACCTAAAGAAAACTTGTCCAAACATTTATTCTGAGATGTGTTTATTACAGTGGCATTACTTTACAGACTGTGGGTTTTGGCTGCACCAATAATAGATCTAGAAACAAAAATCCTGAATGATAAATCAGTTTAACCATCACAAGGAGGCAGAGGAGACGTGAATGAGGACATGAGGTTTGAGACTGAAGAATCAAACTGGAAGGAGGGAAGCAGAGTTTGGAAGAGTGAAAAAAATACAATAATTAAAACTTTGTTAGTTTGTTTATTTTTATCAAAGATTTTCTCTCTGATCCATTGTTAAACATTCTCTGAAAGCCAGTGGAATAGGAAAAACTATTTTTTTTTCTGTGAAACAAAATATTTTACAGAAAAAAGCTTGAAAAACAGGAAATCACAAACTACCATCAGCTTCTGTGTAGAGAGCTCATCACCTCTGTCTTCTGCTGTGTGAAGAGTTTTTGTACAGCCTCTGCAGGTACATTGATCACTGTGCGTTTCTAGCACAGTAATACACAGCAGAGTCCTCTGGCTTCAGGTTAGACAGTTTCAGATGCACCAGGCTGTTGCTGTTTTCTCTGGTGATTTCTATACGTCCATCAACTCTGCTTGAATAAGCTGTGTTACTTCCATCATCTGAAATAGCTCCCATCCATTCCAGTGTTTTTCCTGCTGGTTGTCTGATCCAGTTCATTCCATATTGACTGAAATCAAATCCAGATCCTCTGCAGGACAGACTCAGAACTTCCTGAGGCCTTTTCACCACTGAGGTGGAAGGAATGGACTCCATGGACTGGCTGCTAGAACCTGACAATAAACCAGGAATAAAAACACATTAATTACATATATGAACCATAAAAGTAGCAGATCTAGTAACAGCATGATGCAACCTACATGGCAGACAGATCACTGCCAGCAGAACAGACAGTCTGAACATCATCTTGATTGTAAAGGTGTGAATGAAGCTCGTCCCTTTAATGAAGAAGGCAGGCACACAGTGGGAGGTCTGAAAGCTGACATTTGCATTAGTATTTCATTTAAAGAA